GTTTCCTGCCGGTATTTCTTAAAGGCTGTAGATTTTTTCCAGAGTTCGGCAACAAGTGTGTTCAAAGGGCTGTGGATGTTGGGCTCTCCCAGCAGGCTCTGGATGGAGAGAATAGTCCTGACATCATACAGGGTGGGCCACTTGTCCTTCAGGATGTCCAGGGAGATGTTACCCTAAGTGTCCATGTTGGTTGGGGTGGTAGCAGGGGGTGAGGAACTTCACTGTGGGCGCATTGTAAGGGTAGTCACTGAGGAACTCCAGGGAGAGCTGACCTCATAGGTCTTCATAGATGGTGCCAGCCGCTCAGTGGATGGTCCCTACTCGCTTGAAAAGATTGTCTGATTCCAGGAAAGCAGAGATTCCTTTGTCACCAGACATCATGAGGTTCATCAGCTCCTGTTGTAGCCTCCTGCCCACGGAACCCCAGGCTGCACCTGGGTCTCGGTTTTGGGAGGCCATTTGCTTAGTGCTAGCAGACAGGATCTTGGAAGACTGGCCAGCAACTGCCTACTAAAGGCTTGTTCTTTTACATGGATCACATTTTCTCATTTCCTTTGCATGTGTAATAATTTTGCATTATAGACACACGTAGTTAAAAGTGGACTTTGGCATATCTAGTTCCTAAGAAAACTGATGTAACCCATCCAAGTGAAACAGCCCAAAAATGTTCTTGAGCATAGTTAACATGAAGAAACTAAACCTGCGTATGCTATCTCATCTGCTAGAAATTAATGCATAATAGTCATCAGTGCCCTGCAAATAGCTGCAACCTCAACACCACTCAGCAACGGTAAAACAGAATTACAAGGACAGATTACTAGGGATTTGAAATAAGAAAAATTTATTTCTGTAGGGGGAAAAAAATTAGTTGTAAATTCTAAAAAAAGTTTTTATTGTCTTCCCCCAACCCCCATGCAACCTAGCACATGGAAAAGCATGAGAAAGCATCAAGACATCAAAGAAAATTAACACAAAGTCTTTAGGCCTAAAAGCTTTTTACAATTTATCCTGATAATCAAACTAAACCAAACTCACTCTCATCGAGTCAATTCTAATGGCGACCCTATATTTATTCTGAGAATTATTAAAGTAAAACATTTGTTCAATGAGAAAACTTTACACACTTACATGCGGTGCACTTTCTTCTTTTTCCAAAATGCTACTACAGTGCCTGAATTACTGGGTGTGGCTCTTCTAACCACAGCCTTTGTAACGCATACTGAATGACTGAGTGAGAACGTGCAAATAGGGTCGATGGAACTCTACTGTGGGGAGTGGTCGGTTTTGTCATCCTGCTGTCTTTAGAATGTGCAATCTCAGACCTGGAAAGGGGCACTCACTACCACCAAGAAACAAGTGGAAGGTGTAGAGCATGTCCTTTGGAATGCCGCCCCAAGATCCCTGTGAGCTCAACTTCCTCTATGCAGGAGACAGAGTAGCAGTGGCAGAGCCAAGAGCATGAGACTCCATGGTGGGCTTCCTGGCCTGAGAGAGCAAGTAAAGCTAAGTGCTCTGAGGTTGGCTAGGAGAATGGGATGCCTCCAGGCACTTAAGCAAATGAGTTTGCCAACCTACAGGGTTAGAATTGAACACCTTGGACTGAGGGTGGGGCATGAAAATAAGCTGTACGGAGCTCTAACAAACTGGAAACTTCTGCAATCCTACTAGACTTAAAACAGGCTATCCCAGGGGCAGGAAGAGGAGGACTTCACAACTACCAAGCAAAAAGGGCCAGGGTCCAAACCAAAAATTCACTAGACCCAAGAGATGAGAGAGTTGGGAAAGCAAAACCCAGAAAAAGAGAGCGCTGACTCACCAGAGATAGTGCAAAATACTCAGAAGCAGCAACAAGTACAGCAGAGAACTGATAGCAGCAGAACAGAAACTGGTGGGAGACGGCATAGTAGGCTTCGTGGCCCAAGGACTGAGAAAGCTGAGTGCCTTTGCGGCACAGGCTTACTGGCAGAGTGAAGTGCTTTCTGCATTGGCAGAGATGTGCTGAAAGGAAATTAATTAAATATGGCTCTTTAATCCATGTCCCTAAAACTCCCACCAAATGATTGGGTGGGGCCATGCAAAAAGGATATGTGAGACACAAATAGAAGGGAATGGTTAGTTTTGGTGGCCATCCCTGTATATATAGAGAGCCATCTCAAAAGCAGGAAGAAAGAAAATCCCAGGACTATCAAGAAAGAAAAGCTCACAAGCCGAGTGCAAGTGAGATCAGGCTGAAATGACGACGAGGCAACAGAGATCACAGCACAAAGACCAAGAGGCAGACCAAACGAGCCACCAGGACCCAGAGCGGAGGAGCTCCTCCGAGGCCAGGAAAGAGTGAGGCAGAATGGCAGGTGGGCTTCCTGACCATGGAGGGAGAGACCAAGGAACCATGTGACTGAAAGGCTGAGGACCACAGAGAAAGACTTGGCTTCTAGATGAGGAAAAGTACTGCTGTGGACCAAAGACTGTATCCTAAATGTTTTATGATCCTGACTTGAGGTAACTTGTTAACTTCCTTAGGAAACCCTCACAACTGGATTGTCTGTGAGTCTGTGTGGCCACTGCAATGACTTATCTAATTCAGCCAGAGAAGTAGAGTGCCATGGGAGGAATGGTTAGTCTCAGAATAGGTAAAAAGAGGAATGAAGCGTGGAGGCTATCTGTCCTCTGCTGTGAGCTGGGGTGGCAATGTATTCTCCTCCCTACTAAAGCTGGAGGAGGTCAGATGTAGCCCCCAAACTATGGCCTTGCTCGGCAACACACGGAGTGTGAGAGTGGAGTGACTCCGGGGAGAAGCCTTGCTGGCAGTGTGGGTTGGCTCTGGGCATTTATCAGCCAGAGCTAAAGAGCAGGGACAAGGTCACACCAGTCCAAGAAGGTGAGGGCCTTAAGAATCAGGGAGAAGCATGTTTGCATACATGACTGAGACTTACTCATGACTGCAGGGCTGTATTCTAAACATTTCTGAGCTTGAATTGTAACGTGTTAACTTCCCTATAGACTCGATAATTCAGAGTATTGTCTGTGAGTTGCTATGGCCACTGTAATGAATTATTGAATCCTATAGAGAAGTAGAGTGCAAGAAGAAATATGTCTGACCTCCACTTCAAAGAAATCAGCTTTGGGCTTCTGATGTTGATCTTGTAACCCCCTAAAGTAAGAGGACCTCTGGCACCACTATACCATTTTGACACACACCATGGTCAGGGAGCCCTGGTAGTGTTGTGTTCAAGCACTTGGCTAGTAAACAAAAGGCTAGGAGGTTGAACCTACTAGCCACTGCATGAGAGAAAGATGTGCAGTTAACACCCATAAAGATTTAGAGGTTCTATTTTATCCTAGATGGCTGTTATGAGTCAAGACTGACTACATGGTACTAAGTTTGGTATTGGTTTATGAACACTAGGAATACTGCATTTTTAACACAGCCCTATTAAAAACAAACAAAAACACTATTAAACCTACCATTATAAAATTAACTCAACATTATAGGTTAACTAAAAGATTAATTGCTTCTACTTTGCTTATAAGCTTTCTTACAGGTTAGCTTAAACCTACCTGACTGAAGATGTCCATTGCGGCACGTCAAGTTAGTATTGTCATTATAGACGTCTGTTTGTGATTTGGAAAATTGCAAAACAGGTTGCAGCTTCTCTACGCAACAAAGGAGGATAAAAAGAAAAAAATAAGCAAAAGAAAAAAGGAAAAAAAGTACATGAACAAATAAAAAGTGTAAGAAAATTAAAAATTATTTCAAGGCAAATTTTTTACATAAAAGGTTTTTGCATTAATAGAAATTTTCTGAAATGTCATTAGTAAAAATTCAGACATGAAAATAGCAATAGGAATTAACAAGCTATGTTAAGCATGTAAAAATATGTCCAAATCATTATGATATAAGGGTACCATGGAGATTTTTTCCAATGACTATGTTCTCTACCATTCAGATCATTCATTTAGATGACAACTTAAAACACAAATATTATAAAAACAACAGTAATTATAAACAGACTACAAAGTATAAATGTAACCATAACAAAGACTTTAGAGGAGGTTGACTAGAATTTTAAAGATTAAAAAAAAAAGGACACTGCAGGAAAGAAGGACAGCACTTAAAATAAGGGCAAATTCTAAAGAATGTCTCGGAAATGCTACATTCAGCTAATCTAACAAGCTACCAGACAAGAAAAGTGGAGTGGAATAAGCATAGTACAGAATTGTGTTTACAGTATTGGGGTATTTGCGTTTAAACACAAACACGCATATATGCACAGATTATCTCGAAACGAACCCAGAGAAACTGCTGACAGCCATGGTCTCTGAGCAGGAGAGAAGGGGACACAGCATGAGATGGGTGCTTTTCATTCTGAAACACTCTGAATATAATGGCATTGTTACTTGTTTAAGAAATCAACCAATTAAAATCTAGATAGGATTTTATGAACACTTCACCCAGTTCAAGAAAACAAGAACTCAAATTGTAGGTCTAACATCTGAAAAGACCCAGAGTGTAAGTTTGATCTTCCTTGCCACTATTACTACTACATTCTCTTCCCTCACTCATATAACTTTATATGCTGGATGACATATCCCATGCTCTACCACTTAGTTTCTGGTGATATTAATTTGTTTTAGTCCCAGTAGTCTGAGGGCCTAAAGGATTAAATAATAAATGTGACTTTATGCCTCACTCCTAAGTGGAATTCTATTTTTACCATACTTATTGTGCTGACTGATACAAGAAAAACTAATTCTTTTCTCTTGCATTACAATGAATAGGTGTAAAACCACTGCACATATGCACTAAGTCCATTTCTGAGCCCAGACAAGCAGGCGCCATGCTGGGTTTAAGGTACAAGCACATACACCTTTGGGACAGGTTAAATAGCAGTTACCTTTTTTGCACAGAGCACAAAGTACTGTAGAGCTTTTGTATCCTAGAATTGGCTGATACAACATACCAGGAGCTGACTTTCTGTTGTTAGCTAACAGGTAGGTCATCTGATTTTTCTTCATGATAATACTCTTAAAATCACTGAGGCAGACACAAATTTGGGTTGTTGACAGACATAAATTAGAACAAACAGTGATTTGTAAATATTTTTATCAACTAATTCTTCAATGAAAAGCAACCAGAATTCACAATAGCATTAATTAGTCTCAGACAGTAAAAATACAGAGAAACTAAAACCCTAGTCATGCTAACTAGTATTTCATGGCCATCCTGTCAATTCTGACCTCTAGCAACCATATAGAAAAGAGCAGAACGGCCCCTGTGGGTTTATGAGACTGTAAATGATAATCCCATTCCCTACTGACCAGGCTGTTCTTGTCCCTTACCTCTGCCCATGCTGTCATATCTTGAGTTGCCTTTCTTCCCAACAATCTTTAATTGCTTTCACTGATCTTTTCAAATCCTCATCTCAGGTTTCACTTTTCCCAGGAACCTTTCTCCCCACTTTCTCAAAATATTTGCACATCCTTATTCTGCAGTGATGGGTCTATGTGTCTGTCTCACCGATAATATATATTAGTATATACGTATTTAAGTGGGAGCTCTTAAAGATATACTTGTCAGAGTAGAAATATGCTTCATAAGGGCTGCTTTGGGGAGGATGCAGAGCACCAGACCTTAACCATTCACCTTTCGGTTAGCAGCTAAACAGATTTACTGTTTTCACTATCGAAGTATGCGACTGCGGATGATAACACACCCATTTTGTTGTCTTCCTTTTAATTCCTTTTATGCCTATCTTTATGCTACATGTTTTCTCTTTGTCCTCTAATACCACAAATAAAAAATTACAGTCTTTTTTGCCTGGCTACCACTATCAACTGCTCTGAAAAGAATCATATTGAATCCTGGAAAGTGGGAGAAAATATGATCAAAATTCAAAATCATAAAAAAGGCCAAGTTTACTGGTCAGATAGAGACTGGTGGGACCCCAAGACTATGACTCTTGGTAGTCCTTCTGATTTAAAACTGATCTCATCCTCAGGTGAGAATAATTGACAATTTAGATCAAAAGGTCAGTATTTACCAAACGGCAAAGTTCAGAAGGGTTAGGCAAGGAGGGCTGGAAACAGCAAACAGGGAAGGAGAACAGTGTGAGGATGCACACACTGAGCGGACTGCAACGGGCCAGCTGAAACGAACGTAAAACTGATGGCCGGCTGAGCATGTGCACTGGTACAGATGAGAGCTCGCAACACAGGGAATCCAGAATAGACAAAGCCCTCAGGAGGGTAAGGAGAAGGTGGGGGGGACAAAAGGGGGAACCAAACACAATGTTCAACATATAACACCTCCCCCCAGGGGGACGGGCAACAGAGAAGTGGGTGAAGGGAGGCAGTGGTGGGTGCAAGACATGAAAAAAATAATTTACACATTATCAAGGGGTCATGAGGGGAAAGGGTGAGGGAGGGGGGAAATGAGCTGATCCCAAGGGCTCAAGTAGAAAGAAAATGTTAAAAAACCTATGTACAGATGTGCTTGACACAATGGATATATGTATGGATTGTGATAAGAGCTGTAAGAGCCTCCAGTAAAATAATTTTTTTAAAAACTGATGACACCGGCTTAGTAAACCATCACCTAATATGGAAAGCTTTTTAAAAATTAGTCTTTTTCAAAGAAAAAAAATATAGTTGATAAGATGCTGACAATGTTTTATATCTCAATTTCAAATAAAATTCTTCACTTTTAAACATGTTACCAAATGTTTTTTTTTTCTAAAATCAAACTTATTTTGAATCATCAAACTTATCACTTGATACTTAATATGTAGAATGATAGGAAATTTAGCTCAAAAATATAAAAGTATCAATTAGATTACATAATTAATTTTAATACAATGGTCTTCAGCATAATATTTCATTCTATATGCAACAACAAAAACCTATATTTGTTGTTTTTTTAATCATTTTATTAAGGGCTCATACAACTCTTATCCAATCCATACATATATCAATTGTGTAAAGCACATTTGTACATCCGTTGCCCTCAGCATTCTCAAAACATTTGCTCTCCACTTAAGCCCTTGACATCAGCTCATTTTCCCCCTCCCTCCCCGCCCCCTCCCTTATGAACCCTTGATAATTTATAAATTATTATTTTGTCCTATCTTGCACTGTCCGACGTCTCCCTTCACCCACTTTTATATTTCTGTCCCCCAGGGAGGAGGTTATATGTAGATCCTTGTAATTGGTTCCCCCTTTCCAACCCACCCTCCATCCACCCTCACCACTGGTCCTGAAGGGATCATCCGCCCTGGATTCCCTGTTTCCAGTTCCTATCTGTACCAGTGTACATGCTCTGGTCTAGCCAGATTTGTCAGGTAGAATTGATAGTGGGCAGGGGGTGGGGGGAAGGAAGCATTTAGGAACTAGAGGAAAGTTGTCTGTAGAAACCTTTATTTAGTAGGACTGCAATCCTGGTAGCCACAGAAGCCCGGCTTTGTTAGCCATCTGTAAGCAACCACAGTTGTTTATTTAAACAATGCAGAGGGGGGAAAATAAACTACAAACACAAAGATCATACAAAATGAAAGAATGACATATATACATAGTTAACCCCTGAACAACACAGGCTGGAACTACACAAGGCACCTTTATGCAGATTTTTAAAAAACATGTTGTGTGACGCTAATCATCTCCACCTGAGTAGTTCATCTCTAGCAAATTTTGTCTTTGTAGTTTGGCCACCATTTCAAGAATAAATCCAGCTTATGGACCATTGTAAAAAAAAGAGAGAGAGAGAAATCTGTAAAATCATTGCTGCAGCTTTATCAGGAGACCCAAAAACCTTTTAAAAATTATCTTTTTATCTTTTATTGAAAACACAGCTCTAAGTGGGTGCAGTATGCAATACATGTAACATATAAAAATATGTAATTAACCAACTATGTTATTGGTAAATCTTCTGGTCAATATGAGATTATTAGTAGTTAGGTTTTGGGGAATCAAGTTATATGTGGATCTTAGATTAGGGGAGTGGGGCTGGGGGATGAGCTCAGCATCTCAACTCCTATGCTGCTCAAGGGTCAACTGTACATACAGGTCTAAGTGTTTGTGCATTTTCCCTCACAAACAAGGAAAATTACAGTAATGGAGATGAACAAAATCCAAGATTTTTTGAGTGCCTGTTATAAGTGAGGTTTCTTCAATAATTCAATGTTCACAAAATATGAAGAAGTAAGTATTATCTGTTAGCCTCCTATAACAATGGGCCTACAGAATGCTTAGCCATACTGAGTAACATACTTCCAATTACAGAGCTACAAATAAGTAAAGGTCAGCATGCCTACCAACTATCTACTATTTCCATTATACCAAGCTATGGCAGAACCACTCCAGTGTATCCCTTGTTGAACATTTTGTTCTACTTTGTTTTAGATGTTGTAACAACAAAATGTAACCATCACCACCATCAAATAGCCAATGAGAAGATTCTCGTTCCTTTCCTAAGAAGTGCAGAAGCGAAGACAGCAGGATGCTATTAGGCATCAGTCATCAACTACCGTTCACATAGCAAGCCTATTGAAGAGCTCCTAAGAGCAGAACATACAACCACTGTGAGTAGTTCTGCCATTACAAAATAAAAGTTGGCTTTGAATCTGATGAAGGCTGTAGATACAATGACCAATTTACAAGAAAAACAGTATGTAAAAAGCCAACATCAGATACAGTATAGGAAAAGAGACAAAACATAACAGCCATTCACAATGTATGGATCTTCTTATAACAACTAGTAAAAACATAGTTTTAAAAAAATTAAATTATTAGAAATTTCAATAATGCTTGGTGGTCTTAGCCTATATTTTTATTATTAAAAGGAATGAGTGCTTTTTTTTTTTTTGAGTGCTTATTTTTTAAGTGTATAATGGTATTTTGGTAAGTTTGCTTTTAAAGAGTCCTTATAATTATAATTTACAAATATTAGTTATTTATGAATTGGAAAATGTCACTAATTTGGTTCAAAATAATACAAAATGGGTACGGAAATAGAATGGGTATAGATCAGAACAACAAACATTTTCTAGAAAGACCAGACAATAAATATGCTAGGCACCCAACACAACGATAAGACGTATTTATAAAAGCAGGTAGAAAACTTGATTTTTGGCCCAGAAAATGTAGCTTGCTAACTCCTGGCATAGATAAAATAAAAATGTCCATGAGTTAATAATGGGGGCAGATGGTTACGGAGGGCCTGGTAATATACAATCAAGAGTTCACTATACTCTTCTCTTTCATATATTACAATTTTTCTAAAAGTTAAAAGAAAAGAAGCCTATGTCATATTTTCAAGATAACTAATCTAGTCCCTTCTAAAATTAAAGTTTTACTGAGGAATTTTTCCAAATACATCTCATATCTGATATTACAATACAGTAAGCGATACCTAGAAGTTGTAAACGATCCTTGGCCATAACTAAATTAGTCATCATTTTAGATTGAAGTCGCCTTGCTCTTTCACACTGTTCACCTGGAAAAAAAAAAGGAAAAAAATTAATTATCTAACTTTTTGTAGATTAATACTGTTTCGAGACAAAACATCACCTAACTTCTTTTATGTAGAGTCAACGACTATAAAGAAACTAAGTAAACATGAACCAAGAACAGAAGCATTAGATGGTTCCTTGTTACCATAACCAACTGCTCTGAAAGGAATATCACATCATAAGGTCCTCCTGGCAAGAGTGAGAGAAAAATATGGAAGAGATCTAAATTCATAAAAAAGGGCCATCTTACTGTTCAGAATGAAACGCATGGAACTCCCCAAGACTGTGGCCCTTAGCTACCCTTCAAATCTAGACGTGAACTCACCCTGTGAGAAAAGAGAACCCTAGGGAGGTATGCATTCCTCAGGATAATGAACCATTGGTGATCAAAGGCAACATTTTCCCAGGGATAAACAAATATCAGAAAGGATAGGAGAGAAAGAAATGGAAACCGGAAACAGAGAAAGGAGGTGGAAAAAGTACTATTATGTTGTAGAACCTGCAATCAATGACATGAAACAAAATGTTTAGGGATTGTTAAATAGAAAACTGGTTTTCTCTGTAAACCTCTCCCCAATTCACAACAACAAACAAATTTAAGTATATGACTTTAATAACATATTCTAAAAATGTTATAGTACATTAACAGAGTTCTCAGATGTATTATTTATTTCCTGTATTTCTAGTTTATTCCACAGATTCTAGATTTATTTTTTCACATTTAAAATTTCTTAAAATGAGATGTTTTATAATCAGTGTCAGTTTGTGAATGCCATCAGCCAGAAAGCAGTCAAAACATACTTTGTCATTGCCCAGGCACGCACAAGCTTAGTCATAGACATTAATGCTGTTACTTGTTCCTTTTTTTTTTAATTTCTAGGCATTTACTTTCTCTTATTTTTAAATCATTTCATCGGGGGCTCGTACAACTGTTATCACAATCCATACATACATCCATTGCGTCAAGCACATTTGTACAAATGTTGCTCTCATCAGTCTCAAAACATAATACTGTTACTTCTATGTTTTAAGTAAGAAAGACTAAGATAGCTCATTTGATAAAAATTAAAATTCTAAATGACAGAAGACATTGGCTTTTCTTCTCTTAATGATACAAAGCCATTTGTTTAATAAAATACCATTTTTTCTTATATCCAATTTATCTTCTTCTAATTATTCTTTCATGTACTTGATAAAAACAAATATATTTTAGCAAAATTCATAGAGTTCATAACCTCACAAAGTCTCAAAGAGTCAGACTCACACATTTACTTATTCTGTTTGGTTTTTATAACCCCAAACCCAAGCCCACTCCTGAGTCCATTCTAATACACAGGGCTGCTGTATCTTTGTACGCTTCTGGGACTCTAAATCTTTATGGTCTTATATTGCTCCTATGGAGCAGCTGGTAAGTGTGAACCACAGGCTTTGGGTGACCAGCCTTACCCACAGAACCATCAGGTAGCCTGGCTGTTTTACAGGAAGGCAAAAAGCTAGAGAATACTGGGCTGAAAAGAATAAATGGATAAATTGTAAATAGCTTGGTTTGATACTTTATGACTGGTCCTAAACTACAGCCTGGCCTGTGATTGAAATGTATCTTATAGGGATTGGTCAGTAGGTTATGTAAACAAGGTGAATTGTAACCTCAAAGGACCTATTATGCAAATAAAGTATCCGTGACCTATGAAGAGGCAAGTGGTCAGTTTGGGTCCTGGTAGGATCGCCATGCCTTGAGGGGGGTCAAAAAGAGAGAGAGAGCCAATGGCAAAAAGCCAGGAAAGGGCCCAGTGGCAGAGCCAGCCTGCAGTAACAGATATCAAGGCCAAGTCAGGAGCTTATCCTGAGAAAGCCAAGAAGAGCCCATCCTGATTAGGCTAAGACAAGGGTTGCATGGTCCAAGAGGAGCTGAGAGAGCTATGTTACACTGAAAATAGATTTTGTCGGTCTTATCTGTGATTCTAAACTGTAGCGTATTAAGTCTGATCCTGAATTGCAGCCTATTTCTTAATAAACCACTTAATTAAAGTATGTTGTGTGAGTTCTTTGTGACCACTGAGACCTAGTAGAGTACAGTGGGAATGACAGCTCGTATCATAAATGCTTAAAAGGTTGGAGAGTGGAGGTATGTCTAACCTCTCTTCTACCGCATGGGAATCAAGAACTTGATCCTTGTCATTATTACCCTGAAAGTTGTACAGGTTCTGATGATGCTACTACTGCTAAAAAGATTCAACAAATAGTCCAAATTAAAAGGAAAGAGAAAAGCAGGAGGATAAATATCGGCCACATTTTAATTTTTGGAGATTAGCTGATAGTAGTCATCCAGCTAACAAATATCTATAATCCTAAATAATATAATTATATCTCAAATAATATAATTTTGCTTCTAAATTTATTCTTGCAATGGTAAATTGAAGTGGTATCCAAGTATACAATATCCATAACTTAGTATATAAGGATTTAGCAAGAGTACAGTTAGATTCCAATCCCAACTCATTTGTTAGCCAGGAAGTTACTTAGCAAGTTAGTAACTTAACAAATTACTTAACTTCTTTTACTTTAGGTTCTTCATCTGAAAAGAAAAGATAACAACAACTTCTAGAGAACATGAAACTGTAGGAAAAATTCAATACAGCACTGATGAAGTACTTATCAAGATATTTAGGAGCGCCAAAAGCACGTATCAAATGTTAGTGTTATATTTCCAGGTAAAATTAGACTCAATTTTAGTTTGAGTAAATAGAAAAGTAAAAATGAAAAATAACTGTATGGGTTTTAAAAAGCCAAATATGTCTCGGGGAGGAGACGAGCCAGCCAGGGTGTGATGTAGCAATGATGAAACATGCAACTTTCCCCTAGTTCCTAAATGCTTCCTTCCCCCCACTATCATGATCCCAATTATATCTTACAAATCTGGCTAGACCAGAGGCTGTACATTGGTACAGATAAGGAAATGCAGGGAATCCAGGGTGGATGATCCCTTCAGGACCGGTGGTGTGAGTGGTGATACTGGGAGGGTAGAGGGAGGCTGGGTTGGAAAGGGGGAACCGATTACAAGGATCTACATGTGACCTCCTCCCTGGGGGACGGACAACAGAAAAGTGGGTGAAGGGAGACATCAGACAGGACAAGATATGACAAATCAATAATTTATAAATTATCAAGGGTTCATGAGGGAGAGGAGAAGGGGGAGGGAGGGGAAAAATGAGGAGCTGCTGCCAGGGGCTTAGGTGGAGAGCAAACGTTTTGAGAATGCTGAGGGCAATGAATGTACAAATGTGCTTTACACAATTGATGTATGTATGGATTGTGATAAGAGTTGTATGAGCCCCTAATAAAACAATTTAAAAAAAATTTAAGCCAAATATGTATCAAAGTAAGTAACTTACAGCTCTAATTCTAATAATATACACTCAAGTATAAAGGAGCTTCAAAAATGTATGGAAATATTCCATTATCTGCGACAGTGAATCAAGTTTGGGCACATATGGTTACTACATCTTCATTTTATAGGTGACTAAGCATTATTTGTAAATATACAAACATAACAACATTAAAAAAATCTATCTTTAATGTAAATGGAAAAATAAAATAGTATTATGATAAACTAATTAAAAAGACAAATTAATCTGAATTCAGGGAACCATGTGAATATAATTTTAGATGGGTAAGCAAATATAACCTTACCTTGTCCTGCAACTATAACAGCGATTCCTTTTTCTAGTTCTTCAATACCTTTCTTATACCATTCCACGGCTTGCTCCTTCTGACCTGCTTTAAAACAGAAATAATTATTTGCACGTATCACAAGTGTAGAAAGTATACTATTTCCCAAAGTCTACTGTTGATAAATAGTACATAAAATAGCACATAAAAAGTAGAGCTGTGTCCAAACAAGTTTGAGAAACAATATATATAGTAGGATCTCTTGGTGTCTTTACAATCTTAACATAGGTTGAGCATCACCAAGAGGGGAAATGCAGTCTTCATGGGTTAGTTCCCTACATGTTATGGTTGTGGATCCTTTACTTGGTTTTTTTGGTTATCATCTCTCAAAATTGGTATTTGTAACCAATGAAATGCTGTGCTAGGGAAAGAAAGTTTACTTAGGTGAAATTTATCTTGAAATAAAGGTTTGAAAATTAATGTATTCAATATATGTACAAATGAGTTTGATACAATTGATATATGGATTGTTATAAGAGATATAAGAGTCCCCAAGAAAATAATTTACTAATTTAAAAAAATTAAAGTATTAACATGATTTCAGTAACACTGAGATGAGGCACTGTTTAATTGTATTCAAATCTGATGTAATATGTTCATTGTTGGGTGCCTCCTTTCTATAGTAAGCTTTTATTTAACAAATTATTACATCATGAGAACTGGTACATGAGTTTACAAGTGTGGCATTTAGTAACACATTTTCCTTGAACCAAATGCCTGGTGTAGCACATTAATTCTCAATCCACGCTAAGTTCAAAACGGATATAAAAATTAAACATAATCTATTAGAATTTTGTTTTTCATTGCTTCCCAATTCATGTCCCCATTCAATCAAATAAAGACGACTATGTTCTTTAGAATTTCAAATCCAATAAAACACTGTGTGTCTCTTGATAACAGATTAGAAAGACTTGTTATAAATAAATGCAACAACGGAACAATTAAAAAATGCTGTCCTCTATCTTTTTTTTGGTCCCCTATCTCTTAAGTATATACTACTCCTCTTTGCATTTTCCCACCCCAAAAGTCATCATTAAACTAGTTTCAAGTCATAAGTATTCTTTACCATCAGTATTTACACAATACCTGGTCCAGAATAGTTATTCAATGCTGTTACCATTGTTAGGTGTCAGTTCTGACCCATAACGACCCAATACACAACAGAACAAAACACAGCCCAGTCTTGCCCCATCCTCAAAATTGTTCCTATGCCTCTTACTAGGTGGATGGATCAGTAATAAAAAGTATATGAAAGAAAAAAAAAATTGTTCCTATGCCTAAGCCCATTGTTCCAGCCATGGTGTCATCTTATTGAAGGTCTTCCTCTTTTTTGCTGCCCCTCCACTTTACTAAACATGATGTCCTTCTTCAAGGACTGGTCTGTCCTGACAATATGGTCAGAGAATGTCAGACGAAGTCTCATCATCCTCACCTCTAAGGAGCACTCTAGCCGAACTTCTTCCAAGATAGTTCA